GGGGTGGTGCGTGTACTACTGCAACCTGCAACAACTGGCCTCCCCATTCTGTGCTCTCAGGCATAGTGGAGTACCCCACAACTGTGGCCCCTGCTATCCCCAGGGTGGACCGCTGCAGCTCTACAACAACTGCAAGTACGCTGGTGGAGGAGCATGCGCTGTGTGCAATTTCAACCGGGTTTGTGGTTCGTGCGCCCAATTCTCTCAACAGCTGCGACTTCAACAACTCACCACACACACACACACCCCTCTCACCCATAATCAGCCCACGCTGCAGTTGCTGTGTGTCCGCTCACGGCTGGGATGTGGTGAGCGAGTTGTTGCCGTTTGCATGCAATAAAACCACTTCCCACCATTAGTTGACAACTCATTTGTTGTTATATCAGAAATAGTGCTCAAGTGGCACTTTGTTTGGTCTCCTGAAGCTGTCCATGGTTTCACAAGAATGAGGCTCAAAGAAGGGTCTCCCTTTTGGGTGTGAGGATATGAATGGTATGGTAGAAAAGAAGAATGTGGTGGTAGCACAGAAGCATGTGGTGGTAGCACTGGAGGAGAAGAAGGATGAGGACAAGGAGGCAAGGAGGAGGTGGTGTGCAGTACTCCTTGTGGCTGCCATAACAGCTGGGCCATAGGGCAAGTGACAGGTACCATGGCCTTCATGCTCTGTCTCTTGAGTGGTTTCTTCCTGCTGCTCACCAACTCCACACCATGTCCTCAACTTTGTAAGGACATGAGAGTAACAGGCAGTTGCAGGTGATAGCAATACAAGTGGAGCAGATGTGTACCACACCTCTGGCCAGCCTTGGCATGTAGTCATCCATGCACACTTTTCTGTGTGTTGTGTGGTGTGTTGCATGGTGCAGTGTATTGGTGGTGACCATGTCACTGCAGCTTCTCTGGGTAAAAATGGTGAGATGGCAGGCTCACCCTGTGGCTGTTTTGGTGCCAGACCCTGCCTTAGGATTCCAGACTCCACTCCATCATGGCCCAAAGGGCCTCCTATCCACAGCAACACTTGGACCTTTTGCATGAGACCTTTGTAGAGTGTTATGCTTCTACTGGAGCACCCATCATTTTCCAATAACTTGCACTCATTTGAAATGAGAGGTGTGGATTGTGCATAAATCATGAACTTGCACTCATTTGATATGAGAGGTCCAGTCATTTTGAAAAGTGATTTTGTTTGTGAGTTTAAGCCCATATAAATGGTTTGGACAACACAAAATGGTTTT